TCTTTTTCATTATTGTTCAAAGATAGACAGGAAGCAAGGGACCCTTGCTCTCCACACAGCAGGTCCTTCTAAAAGCAGTAAATTAAAACTGTAGCACCATAATGGCTTGTTACTTGAGGATCACAACTCAGGGGCAATGCTCCCTCTAAGCTTGTGAGTCTTGTGAGCAAAAATTCTAGTTTGTGAGCTCCTGGCATTAAAGTTGTGAGCGAGCGATTTGGCTGCTGTATAAATTAGTTTGCTCTGGAGCCATCCTTCCTGAGCTAAAACAAAAATGTGTGAGCCGGAGGCTAAAATACTGAGCTAGCTCACACTAACTCTGCTTAGAGGGAACACTGCTCATGGGTTTTCACTTTAGAGACTGTTCAGTATAGCAGCTCTCACACTTAAGCACTTTAACTAGTAAACAGAAGTATAGAAGAAGTGACCTTGGAAAAGGCAGGGGCGATTTCGCACTAGAGCTGCCTCGCGGCGCAGCCGCCATTTGCCCCGACACAAACATGTCAATTTCGCGCCCGAAGCTGCGGGGCTGCATTTTGACTCGCAGCTTCGCCCGATTTCCTCCGCAGCTTCGTGATCCTGGGTTTTGAGGATCATGAAACTGCGGAGGAAATTGGCCGAAGCCGCGGGTCAAATGCAGCCCCGCAGCCTGCCTTTTCCAAGGTCACTTCTTCTATACTTCTGTTTACTAGTTAAAGTGCTTAAGTGTGAGAGCAGCTCTAGTGCGAAATCGCCTCAGGTCTTTTTATCTAGAGTATCTGCATGAATTATCTTGGTAAACCAGTTGCCTTAAAAAGTATACTAATTTGTCCATGCCAGTGTGCTGAGGCAGAAGGCATTGGACTAATATCTGGGACACCTGGGTTCAAATCCCCATTCTGCCCTGAAGCCTGTTGGGAAACCTCCTGCCAGTCACATTTTCTCAGCCTAACCTATCTCATAGGGTTCCTGTGAGCATAAAACCACACAAGCTGCTGTTTGTAAGCTCCTTGGAGGAAAGCCATGAGAAAAAGATGCCACTAGATGGACTTTGGCCTGATCCAGAAAGGCTGCTTTTATATTATTCATGTGATCTATTGGGACATAAGGCGTACTGACATCTCATTCTCTTCTGGGTGGTAAAGATCATTAGCAATAAATCTTTATAACTGTCCTAAAATCAAGCAGTCTATGTAAGCTCTAATACTTCAGCAGTTTGAGGAGGGTTATAAAAGACGCAAACACCAGTTCACTCAGTTCAGCTGAGAATCTCCATCACCAAATACTCGTAACTGCTTTAAGTAGAGATGATAAATTCGTTATCTGGGCTGAAATGTGTGTTTACACTACCGAATGGTATGCCACACCAGACACTCCTTGCATGCAAAAAACTAAATGTCAAAGAAAAACCTCGTCTAACTTCTTTCTAGGTATCTATTTCACTATATATACAAGAAATAATGTGTATGGAAGTTCATTCATATATGAGTTTCCCCCTGTAGTATACCTGGTATAGCACAAACACAGGAGTACCACCTCAATGTGAAAACTAGGCCAGTTTGTACATAGTATGTCAGAATTAACTTCTTTAATTTTAGTCTGATGATTTGTAGATCCAAAATACTGTTTTCCTCTTCTCCTTCACCAAAATCAGTTAATCTGGAAATTATTTTAAAAACAAGCAAAAATGTATCATATCAAAACAAATAAGAGGCCACCTATCTTACATCAAACTGTTGATGCTGGGTAGCTTTTGAAATATTAAAGGTAAAGGTTCCCTTGCTCGAAAGCCAGTCGAATCCGACTCTAAGGTTGCGGTGCTCATCTCCGTTTCAAAGCCGAAGAGCCAGCGCTGTCCAAAGACGTTTCCGTGGTCACGTGGCCGGCATGACTAAACACCAAAGCGCACGGAACGCTGTTACCTTCCCACCAAAGTGGTACCTATTTGTCTACTTGCAATGTCTTGCTTTCGAACTGCTAGGTTGGCAGGAGCTGGAACTAGAGATGGGAGCTCACTCTGTCATGCCGCACATTCGGGTCTCGAACTGCTGAACTACTGACCTTCCACAGCCTGCAGTTCAGCGTCTTAACCACTTGAGCCACCGCAGTGCCTAGTTTTATTGGCAGCGGTATCTATTTTTAAATTTGTTTAAATATCAACAGCTTGGCAGTATCTGAGCAAATATTCTTATGATAATTGTGCTTGAACAGCTCTCATCTTTTCAGTCAATGCAGAAAACAACCAGTGTAGCTAGCTAGCATGATCTGACTAATCCCCGTTACATTCCTCAGAGAATATTAATTTGAACAAAGACTGTTTATTTGGGCAGAGATAACTGCCTTCAAGGACCCTCCTTTTCATTTAATGCAAATAATAACCCCTGTAGGAAAAATGTCTTCCTGCTGTAGCATGCCAACAATTATTTCCCATGTAGCAACTTCATGCTGCCTAGAGAAAGAACACGAATGGATCTCTGCTAAAAATTCAAGTAATTAACAAATTACTTGAGGTGTAATTTCAAAATTCTAGCACATAATGCCGAAGTTAAGCATATGGACCAGGAAGACCCTCAGCCCTTCCTACTGAATGCAAGCATAGTGGAATTTTTCCCCCAGATCTACTCAACTGCAAGATTCCCAAACTTTGGAAGAATAAAAAAACAAGGACGAATGGTCTTGATGCAGCCTCAGCACTTCAAATCACCCAGTGTTTTGAATGAGCATTCAAGCAGGTTGCGCAATAACCCAGTATTGGTGAATGGTAAATTTGTGACCTGCTGACATCATCTGGTGTATGGTGGAAAGTGCCATCAAGTCTTAACTGACTTCTGGCGATCCTGTAGGGTTACATCGTCTGGAACAGGAGCTTAATTTTTAAAATTAGAACGACAAAGGGCTATAGTCTGCCAGGGAGTCAGTGTCAGATGCTGATTGTTGTTTTTCAGTCAATGAAGGGCATTCTCCAAAGTCTGTCTTCCTTCACACACCAGGATCAGAAGACGGCCATCTCCATTTAAAAATAAGATAAGCAGCTGTCTTGTGCTCAGCCGGTGAAAGACAGCAAACCTCCCTCTAATACTATACAAGTGCAATCAATTCTCGGCATTTCATTTTATTTTTGGCAAGACATACAAGCGATTTTTTTAAGATCCTGGCAGTCCAAACACAAACCTGTCACCAGAACGTTTCACCCTAATTTATACCTGATGGGCTGTCAAAATCGACCAACCTTCCTCAGTTTAAAGAACAAAAAGGCTTACATCGAGGGCCCTCTGCTGCTTCTTAGAAAGCCTGGAACACAGTGTGCTTCCTTGCTCAAACGGAGGAAGCCCAAAAGCAAGCAAGTGAATTGGCAACACTTATTTCATCACAGGGTTGATAAAGACCAAGAAGGAGAAAGCTGCAGGCCCTCATGAGCTCAGTGTCAGAGCACACTTCCCTAGGGACACTAAGAAGCCCATTACAAAAAAAGTGACCCATCATTTCCATGCAGCAGAAGCATCAACAATTATCTCTCAGATTCACAAAGAAAGGCTAAAAGTTGGATCAGGAAAGAACTATTTATAAAATATGTTATTTATCTAGGTATTTCCATTATGTTTTCCCCGACCCAAAGCAACTTATGGAAACTTCCAGTACAATATAATTTAAATACAGTATTTTGAAAAAAAAACCCACCATCCAGCCCCAGCACTGCATGTACTTACTTGCTTTAGGTTCGTTATGAAGTATAACAGGAAGCTGGTTTTTTTAATATCCAGTTTCCCAACAAGATAGCAAACCATCACAATTTGTCCGCAAACAGTAATTTGACTGCAGACTATTGACAGTCACAGCAATAGTACAATACATTTGTGTATTTATAAATTTATTTGTTTGTATCCCACTTTTCTCCCCAGTTGGGACTCAAAGCAGCTTAGAACATCTTTCTCCCCTACTCCAGTTTCTCACAACAACCCTATGAGGTAGGCCATGCTCAGAGTTTAGGATGGGCCCATAGTCACCCAGTGAGTTTCCATGATAGAACTGGAGATTGAAACACAAGTTACTCAGGGCCCTAGTCCACCACTCTGTCCACTATACCACACTGACTTTCTGTGGATAATGCAAAAATAAATGGAATTCTAAAAAGAGAAAGCAGCAAGAACTTTGTACGTTCTGCTTTGGTGATACAAGGTAATATTACTGGCTCTGCATCTTTTTCTAGTCATACCTGTTGCCGCAGCTTCAGGCATGTCAATTTTTCCCAGACACTCCCTTCTTTTGCCTAGGCTAAACATGAATGTTCAAAACAACAAACTATATCCTGAATGCTGTCAGCTTACACTCTTCTGGGCTGCCTGACATCCTGCCACTCTGGTCTCAATGTAAGGTCTACTGCTGCTGGAGAAATCTGGTTCTCCGAGAAACCTTTCGGCAACACAGGGAGAAAGAGAATCTAAAAAAAGGGAAGTGTGTTGCTTAATCCCTGTAAATCCGACAAGTGAATGGAGACCTCGCATAGTCTCTGTTATGGTCCAATAACAGAAGAGTAACACTTGAGTTTATTCAAAGACTGTAAAAGAACAGCACGTTTCCCTCATCTCACAGAGCCCAATAAAACGAATACTTAGCAGGACACAAAACTTTAGAATGTCCAAAGCACTTCACTACATCCTGCCAGTAATTCGCATGAGGAAAAACGAAGATACTTCTTGCATTGAGGCTCTTAGCTGAGTGAAGAGTTGACTGGGAATTTCCGGATTTACAACTTGCACTTTTTTTCAGTACTATAAAAATGGATACCTAAACACATTTTACTCAAATATATGGGGGGGGGGGCACACACACATTCATTCAAAGGATGACATCTTATAGGAAACACTGCAAAGATTCATCAATTGTATTCCAATTTTTCTTGGGAGAAGGGGAGGGAAAGTCAACTTTTCATATTAAAGAGACATTATCTTCTGTTAGGGGGGGTTCTTCTGACACAGGTAAAGCCCATCCTTCTGCCCCCCCATCATAAAACCACCACTCACCCTTTACAAATCCCCAAGGGGAGAAAGGTCAGCCTTCTTGTTGCCTGTGAAAGCTCTCATTGCTCATAATCACTGCCTCAGCGCCCGGTGCAAAAGACAGCTTTCGTTTACAACCACCACCCTAAAGCCACATGATTATAATAAAGGCCCAACCCATAAATAAAATGCTTACAATAATTTAAAACCCAGCCCACAAATAAAATACTGTGATCTGTTTTACAACAATTACTCAACGGCTCTCAAGTAATGGGATCTCTGTCAGAATAATTAGCAGCAATGGCACTCTTCTGAGTGCCATCATTTGCCCAGCCAAAACATATACTTGAAGAAGAGGACTGTCAGCACAAGAAAGGTAAGCAAGATTCACAGAATTATCTAGCCATAATTCTAAACGCTCTTATCCTTCCCAGCAAGTCTTGCTTTTGGTTAAACCGTAAAGCTGCTTGCCACTCACCTCCTTGGGTCCTCCCTTCTCTGTCGGCTACAAAGAAATCTGGCTCCCTCCTGCAGCAATCAAGAACTCAGTAAGTCTGCTATCAAGAAAGTATGTGCATCACTGATAAAGGGTAAGCCTGTAAACTTTTTTAATACCTTTAGCAAGCCCACACTCCACCCATGTATTAATTATGCTGTCAGGGTTTTTGAGACTGCAGAAAGGCACCTACGCCCATAGACTGGAAACAACTAAACTCTTATTCTCTCTTTCAAGTACAAGTATGTACTATGTGAGTCTTCTCAATGGCCCACCCGCCCCCTGCTCCAACCTCTCTGGGGACAGTGGACAATCCACCAAGTTAAAAACATTGCTAGTGTGGGTTGCAGGAAGGTGGAATCTGGCAGGTCTCCTTCCCATTCTTGGCTCCTCTCCTTTCTTTCCTAGGGTTGCCAAGTGTGAATGCAGCCGCCAGCGGGGGACTCCATAGAGTTTTCCCTCGGATGGCCGTGGCTCCACCCCCAGCGTGCCCGGCGTGGTCACGTCACTTCCGGGTGACGCGCATGTTGGGGTGGAGTTCCCCCCGGGGCCCGATCCGCAAGCAGTGGGGAACGGGCCTCTGGGGCGGGGGTCTCCCCCCACGGTGGGACTTGGGAAGCCTATTCTTTCCTCATTGGCCCCACCCTTCTTGATGTGCTCACCCACTAGCTCCTTCCCTCCCTCTGCCCACCTATTCCTTCTTCCAGGTCAGCTGAGCAAACCTGGGCACCACAGCTGAGTTCTTGGGGGGTCCTTGCCTCCGGATGAGTGACAGAAGCCAGGCTGCTGCAGGGCTCCCAGCTCCAGGTGAGTTGATGGAGTCAGGATCCTGCCATAGAGGCAGGATGGGGTCCCCATCTCACATATGCATTGCTACACTGCATGCTTGGAAAAATACCATCAGACTTTAGTGTTCAGTAATCACCTGGCTGTCACCTCAAAAAGGCTTTTAATCTGAAAGAGCTTTCCAGTTAGAACAACCAGCACCCTATTATCTTGACATTATAAGCAGAAGACATGGAGCAGATGCCACATTACCGCAAATTTCAAAGATTTATTTAATCCCCTTCCTCTGGAAGAATCCCAGCAGAACATCAGAAGAAAGAGTTGCAAAGACAGAAATATAAAGATAACAAGACTAGAAAAGATATTAAAAGAATCTTACTGTGGCAAGTATGCAACAGTAGACAGCCTAAATATAGACTCTGCCACCATTTCAATCGCTAATATTGCAGGATTAGCGTTTAAGAAGCAGAAAGATATTATTTCACTAAGATTATAAATAGAAATTGTTTTCTAAAGTTGCTATTGCCAACTGAGCACTTACATGTTTACTCAAAGATAGAAGACTAAGATTCAGTACAGAACTACTATAGATGCCACAGCCCGGCCCAGGGTGGCCCAGGCTAGGCCTATCTTGTCAGATCTTGGAAGCGAAGCAGGGCTAGTATTTGGACGGATGACCGCCAAGGAATTCCAGGGTCACCATGCAGAGGAAGGCAATGGCAACCCACTTCTGTTAGTCTCTTGCCTTGAAAACCCTACGGGGGCTGTGACCTGATGGCACCTTAAAAGTAAAGGTAAAAGTTCCCTTGCTCGAAAGCCAGTCGAATCCGACTCTAGGGTTGCGGTGCTCATCTCCGTTTCAAAGCCGAAGAGCCAGCGCTGTCCAAAGACGTTTCCATGGTCGTGTGGCCGGCATGACTGAACACCAAGGCGCACGGAACGCTGTTACCTTCCCACCAAAGTGGTACCTATTTATCTACTTGCAATTTCTTGCTTTCGAACTGCTAGGTTGTCAGGAGCTGGAACTAGAGACGGGAGCTCACTCCGTCATGTGGCACCCGGGTCTCGAACTGCTGAACTACCGACCTTCCAGTAACTGCAGTTCAGCGTCTTAACCACTTGAGCCACCGCAGCTCCTAGTACTTTACACTTTACACACACATAAATGCCACAATCAAAACATATATTTTGGGTTCATTTGTAGCTTTAACTTCTTGGAATCCATGTTCTCCCCTCCAAATTTCTTTCAAAACTGCTGTGAGTTCAGTTATTCAGTTTTGATGTCTATTTAACTTTTTGTGGTAATAATGTGTGATTTGCCCATTTGTGTGCTATTGTTCTTATCCAATTACTCCTATTGTTCAAACTTCTGAGTCACCTCAGCAGTTAGATGATCAGTTCCTACTCTAAAAATACTTTTAAATGTTCTGTCTTTCAGACTGCAAAAGTATGTTTCTGGTTCCACATGAAGGAGAGAGTGTGCACTTTATTTGCTTTGCTAAGCTTGCTCCATGAACATAACAAAAGAATAGCCAGCCAGCAGATGTGTCGTTAGAAGGAAAATTCCCACTTTTAATCCTGAACAACAGATGATGATTGCCAGGGGGTTGAAAGAACCAATACAAGCTCCCAAAGACTTAAATGGAACCAGTTCAACTACTGATGGATAATAAAGCAGAAAGTGCCAAAGCAGGATTACAGCTGAACATCAAGATGACAAAAGCAATGACTACTGGGGAATTACACAACTTTAAAACCGATTATGAAGAAATTGAAACTGTTCAAGATTTCCTGTTCCTTGGCTCCATCATCAACCAAACAGAAGACTTCACTCAAGAAATCAGAAGGAGATTGAGACAGGGAAGGGCAGCCACAAAGAAGCTAGAAAAGATTCTTTAAGTGTAAGGACGTATCACTGATGACCAAGACAATTCATTCACCATTACTATGTATGTGTGTGAAAGCTGGACAGTGAAGAAAGCTGATTCATTTGAAATGTCGTGTTGGAGGACAGTTTTACAGATACCATAAGAACACAAGAGAAGCCAATGTTGGATCAGACCAATGGCCCATCTAGTCCAACACTCAGTCACACAGTGGCCAAAAATACCAGGTGCCATCAGGAGGTCCACCAGTTGGCCCAGGACACTAGAAGCACTCCCACTGTTGCCCCCCCCCAAGCACTAAGAATACAGTGCATCACTTGCCCCAGACTGAGAGTACCTATCTATACCTTGTGGCTAATAGCCACTGATGGACCTCTGCTCCATATGTTTATCTGCTCTTGAAGCCGTCCATGCTTGTAGCCGCCACCACCTCCTGTGGTAGTGAATTCCATGTTTTAATCACTCTTTGGGTGAAGAAGTACTTCCTTTTATCCGTTCTAACCCGACTGCTCAGCAATTTCATTGTGTGCCCATGAGTTCTTGTATTGTGAGAAAGGGAGAAAAGTACTTGGCTGATTTCGCACAAGGAGCTGTGCTGCCGTCGCGCCTCCCTTTGCTCCATTTCCCACTCGAAGCCACATGGCCGCATTTTGACCCACAGCTTCGCCCAATTTTCCCTGCAGTTTTGTGATCCTCAAAAAACAGGATTACGAAACCATGGGGAAAATCGGGCGACACCACGGGTCAAAACGCGGCCGCGTGGCTTTGAGTGGGAAATTGACCAATGGAAACAGGGCAAAGGGAGGCACGACGACGGCACAGCTCCTTGTGCAAAATCAGCCCTTCTTTCTCTACCTGCTCTGTCTCATGCATAATCTTATAAACCTGAATCATGTCACCTTTCAGCTGTTGTTTCTCCAAGCTAAAGAGCCCCAAGTGCTTTAACCTTTCTTCATAGGGAAAGTGTTCCAATCCTTTTATCATTCTAGTTGCTCTTTTCTGCACTTTGTCCAATGCTATAATATCCTTTTTGAGGTGTGGTGACCAGAACGGTACACAGTACTCCAAATGAGGTCGCACCATTGATTTATACAGAGGCATTATGATACTGGCTGATTTGTTTTCAATTCCCTTCCTAATAATCCCCAGCATAGCATTGGCCTTTTTTTATTCCAGTCGCACACTGTCTCGACATTTTCAGTGAGTTATCTACTACGACTTCAAGATCTCTCTCTTGGTGAGCCTTCACTTACAGCGGCTCTGAAGCAGAGACCCAAGTGAGCGCACTCCAGGATGAGAGGGAGACTTTCGATTTACTACAACTTCAAAAAGAAGATCTACAGCACCGTGAGTAAATGAGACGCAAAACTACAGCAAAACTAATTCAGTTCAGATGTCCCTTTAAACGCTTTGAATCAGAAAAAAAAGGAGGGGTGGAGATCCCCCCCCCTTCACAAAAGCTTCGGCCAGCTTCGGCTGGGAGGGTGGGGTAAAAATTTGAAATAAATAAAATAAATAAATAAGAAGCGGCTCGGAAAAGGTCTCTCTTTTTTCTTTTTGGAACAATACAGTGGGGAGGTTTTAAGAGACATGGTGGTTGTTTAAAAGTGAATAAGTTTATTAGAAGAATATATCCTGGCTGTTTCTGACTGCGGATCCTTTTTTTTTTTTTGTCAAGAACCCTCTTTTTTGCCTTTTTCTGGGCATTTCCTTTTCCTGTTCTGAAATTATAATTTTATTATTTATTTATTTATATTTAAATTTCTATCCTGCACCTCCCCGCCGTAGTGGGCTCAGGACGGCTAACGGCATATTTATAAATACATACATTAAAATCCCAGATTTCAGCCAGTATTCTTATTTGGCCTACAGAAAAGCCCAGAGACAATGAGTGAGCCCTTGATTTAACTCTGTCATCACAATCACTTGTGAT